CCTGCTGTTTTATTCATCAACTTTAGTCTGGAAAATAGAGCAAAATGTAACAATCCCTGAAGCAACAGAGAGCTATACGTGCTCTGTAAACCTTGCAGTATTTTGTATTTTGACAAAGGCTTTTTACTGAAACAATTCATGATGATTGTTCCTTCGTTTTTGTGCTGTTTTGAAACTGACAACAGAGAAATAACCTTTCATCTGTAATGCAGTCTAACTACCCTTTTAAGTTGTCATGCTGTATTCAGATCTGGGCAGCATGACCCTTTGTGCATAATCAGAAACATTTCTTCTATTATTAAACAGTAGAATACACCATAGTAACTGCTGTATTTTCTATGTTGATCAGCAGGAGTTTTTACTTTACTTTTTTCCCCACTTGTCCTGCTTGCTTTCTCTTCAGCATGTTGACTGTTTGGTCCTAGTGACAGCACAGAAATAGATATCTTCAAGCATTTTGAAATGAAGTCTACATTAATCATTTTCTTTAACCCCCCCCCCCCCCCCCAAAAAAAAAAGGCAAAACAAAAACCCAACAAAACTTCAATATATAGCATAGATTAGTTTGTAATATTATATCTGAATGCCTCTTAAGAAGGTCAGAAGCATCTCCGCTGTACTTCTTCAATTCTGAATTGAGGATTTTCTATATTGTGCTGAATTAATTCATTGCTTTTCTGAATTGCAAAGATACCGTGTTCAAGATGCTTACTTTAGCAGAAGGCCTAAATGCTACATAAAAATGAAGTATACCTAATTATTCGGTATAATTTCAAAGAGAGTGATTAGAACAGCATTAGGTGAAAGTTGTTGAATACTGTAACTGTATATATATTCATCTATTGAGAAAATAGGAAGGGTACTGTACATGGCGACTCTGACATTGATTGGTGGTGCTTTGTCTTCTGCTTCTTATTTTCTGCTTTTATTGGCTGCTGTCGCTCACATGATCAGATGCCAACCAGTCACTGTTTTGCATGGCAGTGGGCCTCTGTTGCTGTAAGTATGACCCATTGTAACTACCACAGAAAAGCCTTCATTTTCTTTGACTTCTCTGTGGATAGTTACCATTGTAGTCACATCACTTCATTTCAGATGGAATATGTAGTATGTCTTGCATAAAAACATAGGACTGGAAGGGACCTCGTGGGTCACAGTCCAGTACTGTTGCAGGCAGTCATGTCATAATCCCTTTCATAAACTGATCAAGCTCCATCTTAAAAATGCGAGGTTTTTGCTCCTCTGTTCTGTTGAGAAGGCTGTTCCAAAACCTCACTCTGATGGTGAGAAACCTTCTAATTTCCAGCCTAAATTTATTCATGGCCAGTCTATACCCATTTGTTCTTGTGCCAGTATCGTCCATTAGCTTAAATAGCTCCTTTCCTGTTCTGATGTTTATCCCACTCTCTGTATTTGTAGAAAGCAGTCACCTCCCCTCTCTGTCTTTTTGCTTTGCTTCACTTATTGACTGTATCAAGTAAACAGATCATTTCACAGATGAGATTTAATTAAAAGGCTTCTTTTCTGTTGTGCTTTTCTTTTCGGAAGTCATGAAAACTATAATTATATAATAGGGACGTGCGAAATGGGCTGTATCCAATTCGGATTTGTCCCAAATCAGGGACAGTGATTCGATTCGTTGGTTCGGATCACTGTCCCCGATTTGATTCAGTTGAATTTGAATCTGAAGGTTTAGTGCTGATGCAGAGACTCAGTGATTTGGTCATGGACACAGCTTTAAATGTTTTTTCTACATACCTCGATGTACCTGTGTGGCTTGTGAATGCTGCGATGCTGGGGTAGATGAAGTGTCCCACAGGAGTAGGGGGGGGGCCCCTGGGTGCTCAGCAGTGAACCCAGAAGTGGACCAGATGTACCTCTGGGTCTGCCGCCGAGTGCACAGGGGAGCCTCCCCATGCCCTCCTGGCTTGGTGATGAGGCGCAGGGGGAACCACGGGTGCCCTCCCAGACCCGGGAGTCACCAGTTGCTGAGCTGGGGGAGTAGGGGGGGGCAGGGCAGCGTGCTCCCCAGCAGACCCAGAAGTCGACTGGAAGGGCTTCTGGTCTACTTCTGGGTCTGCTACTGAGTGCACTGGGGAGCACCCCTGCGGTCCTGTGGGATGCGCCATCCGCCCCAGCATCACAGCATTCACAAGTTGCCTGGTAACTTGAGATACATAGGAAAAACATTTAAAGCTGTGTCTGCATCGCCGAATCTCTCTGAATTGATGTGGAGGGTTCTGATTTCGGAGAGATTAAAGGGTCTCCTGATTTGATTTGGACTCCGAGATTCGGCTGCCAAATCAGGCCAGATCTCCACTGAATTGAATCAGTGACCACACAGCTTCATACAGCCCTATTATATAACTAGTAGTTTCCTCTTGTAGAACAGTTGTCAGGTTTCGTGGGTCAAATGATTTAGTTTATCTTTCACATCAGAATAAAATTTTCAGCCAAATTTGGGATTATAAAATTTCAAGTGAAATCAATTGAACAATACCACATTTCACTTGAGAGGAGATCAAGAATGGGCTTTTAATCTGATGCTGTGTGTTTGAAAGGCACATCTATTGAACGAAAAACAAGGCCTGCAACTTCAGGGTTTCTGTTTGAAGGACACTTTTTCAAAGAGCAGTTTTTTCCACTCTTTTGACTGCTGTACTTAAAACTCTAAAGGACCTGCTATACAGTCCTATTTTGGGGTGCTTTGTTCACAGTCAACAAAAATGCTGAAAGATTTGAAATGCCATCATTAAAATACAGTTAAACACTTTTTAAGAGGAAACAAAAATAATGCCAGTTGCAGGATACATGGGACAAAATTAGTAAGCGCATGTCCAATTTAAATTAGAAGCATGTAATCTTTTGTTCCAGGATTTAAGTATTTTATATGTTTATTGCTTACATTGTGGTCGCACACAGGAGACCTGCTCATGAACCAACATTTCCTATGATAGATGCTATTCAAATGGGATAACCTTTCTCCAAGGAGTCTAGAGTCTAGCCAAAATGTTCTTTCTTAGTGAGTTTAAGAAACCATAGCCAGCTTACAGTAGTATATGCACAGTGTTAGGTATGTCTAAATTTTTATAGCATTGGGTCATGCTTGGAATTGTAAAGTTTTTGGAATTGGCAACATCCATGTATTTGTAAGATGCAATATGTGCCTATTTGCTTGGTGCATAGGTCCTATAGAGATGCATTCTCTCCCTTACTGTGAATAAGGATGGCAGAATCTGATTTGGTTCACATTTATGTTTCATATCTAAATTGCAGAGGCCCCCTTGTGAATTCAGATGAATAGAGGCCTTGGAATCTCTGGTGCTGAAGAGGAAGTTGAATGTTGTATGAGTAGTATTTCTTTAGATGAAGTTAACTTTCTCTGATATTAAGCATCTGTTGGTGGGACTCTACACATTTTATTAATGATGCAGCAGCATCTGGGGAAAGCATCAAGACATATTTTTTAAGAAGAGAAATAACACTGCTCAAAACATGGGATTAAATTAGTGAGAACCCAGAAGCTCTTACCTGAAATTGTGTTTGTTTTTATTAGCAGTAAAAATAGTCAGTTTACATTCCTGTGCTTTAATTTTGTTCCTTTCTTTATGAGGTTTTGTTTCTTGAAGGGTAAAAGGAAAAATGACTTTTTTTCATACTAGTATACCTATTTGATTTCTCCTGGTTCTGGAAGAATTTATTCCCTACAAGTTTCCCCCACTTTCTAAACATCTCCAGGTTAAATTCACCAATGTCTTATTTATTTATTTACTTATTTTTGGCCAAGTATACATTTAGAAAAGTCGTAACGTATTTTTAAACAAGCTGACTTATACTATATAAAACATTAAATTACAGTATTATATGATGTCTGTATTTCATTGAATTTAATGCATATTTTTTAGTTATACTGGGCGTGTCTACACGAGACACTGACTGTGCAGTAGCTTGCTACTACTGTGTGGAAAAAACTGTGCTTAAAAGGTGTTTGCTAGTGCTACTGCACAGTAAGTCCGGTTACCGTGTATTTATTTAGTACTTGCTTATACAAGTACTAAATAAATGCGCAGTAAACCACTGCACGGTAGTGTCTCGTGTAGACATGCCCATTGTGTACAGTACTTATACCCTCATGCATTTTTGACTATATATAAGGATTACATTTTATAAAATGTTAAATTATCAACTTCCTGTGTTTAAAAAAAAAATAAAAAAATTTAAAAAACATATTGACAAATGGTATCATATTTTTTCCTTAGAGTCTTACATTAAGAGAGAAAATGACAAGCCTTAAATTTAAAGAAAAACCCACAGACTTGGAAACCAGAAGTTATAAGTTTTTGCTATTAGCCTTGGTAAAACTGATCCATGCTGATCCAAAGCTCTTGCTATGTGTAAGTAAATGTTACTTTTTGCATTGGTGATATCTTTGATGTTCCAAGAAATGCTGAAAAGCTTTTCAGCTTTGGTGTGATCAGTGAATGCTATAGAAATTCAAACTTAAGTTTCTGAAGTACCAAAAAAATAAAATCTGGACAATGAGTAAAAATAAGAGCTTAAACACAGCATGCCTTCCTCCAGGTTACTGCTCCACTCCATTCTTTCACCCCGTTCTAATGCAGTTGGGAAAGGCAGCCTTACTGTTGTCACTTCTTGTATAAACATCAGTGACATCCCGGTCCATTTCTTTTTATCGGTGACAAATGCTGAGTTGAGCCAGGGCAGGCTGGATGGGTGGACCTCAGCCAACCATCTCAGTCCTGATCAGTATGGAGGGAGATGAAATGCCAGGAAATCAAGTTCTAAAGAGAACTGGAGTGAAGTTATAATAAGCAAAATGAACCTAACAGTGAAGAATAGAACAGGAGAATTAATTTGGTCAGGTAAGAGTATTAGGAAAATGTCAGGAAAAAGAATTAGGGTAAAAATCTTGATGAACACAGCAAGACAAAAATACACTAGAAATATGTGAATTAAACCCAACTTCTCTTGTTGCATTCTTTTCTTTGATGTTTTACGGGAAGTGCAGTGGTGACTTATCTACCATCTTTTTCCCCCAAAACCGTCACAGGGGAAGCATGAAAGAAAAGAGGGAGAAAAATAAACACATCAAGACATGATTTGGCTTTAAATTCATGCTGTAATGAGTATTCCATAAAGTTCTTTGCAAATAGTCTTTTGAGAGTCAACAGCCCCCAGTATGGGGAGCCACTGTGTCCACAGAGACAGAAATTTGCTTCAGCTATGGTAAATGCACATCTTGAGAACTCATCCACGTGCTGTATTAACCAGCAGTGAAATTGATTTTACTGAAATTGAGTCTCATAGACAATGTCAAACTTTTTGCCTGGTTTTTGCACTCTTCAGTTTGGAAAAAAAAATCTAGATCATTAAAAGAAGTGCCAAAGATAACTTAATTAAAACAAACAACTAAATGCTCTTTGCGTTGGGTGTGTAAGGGCTAATGCATTCTAACGGCAAGTAATATGGCCAATTATAGAACAGTTTTACTTTTTAAACCATTTTTCTGCTTTTAGAATCCAAGGAAGCAGGGGCCGGAGACCCAGGGTAGCACTGCTGAATTAATTACAGGACTTGTGCAACTTGTTCCACAGTCCAATATGCCAGAAATAGCACAAGAAGCCATGGAGGTAAGGGCTGAGCATACACACATGGGATGATTAGCTTGCCAACTACCAGGTATATCAGGATTTTTTGTAGAAGGTCTGGAGTACTAATTTGTTCCCAAGCTTTTATGTTGTTTTAGTAGCTCTGGTTTTTGTTTTTTTTTTTTAAATGCATCTTAAATTGAATGTTTTATAGCAGAAACTGAAATAAAAGTTTTCAGGGGTGCAGTAGGGAGTTTGCCTTTTATGTTTTTCCTGTCTCAGAAAATCATTCATTCCTTGGTATGGCAGGTCATTACTAATTAGTATCTCGTCCTCAGTGTCTTTTAGACTGAGTTTCTGATGTTTTTGTTACTTCATTGTAGAACACCCTTAAACCCCTCTATCAGTCCTTCATCTTCCCCAATCCTTTCTAAATGGCCTTGAGAGAGAGATTCACCCTATTTTTTGAGGGGGGAGGGGGTTGAGGTTGAGAGGACCATAATAATTATTATATTGCTTGGTGATTCAGCAAGTGGTAAGGAGATGGCAAGACTTCTAGGCAGCTTCTGCCTACACTGAGTAAACTTCTCAAACCAGAAAAGCTGAGCAAGCTGCAGTTGTCTAGCAAGGAAGACAGTTCATTCTTATTTCCAAGACTTTTTATGGTATAAGAGCTATGCTTCTAAGCAAGTTTCAAGTTCAGCTTCAAGCATCTATGTATTTCATACACTTAAGTACATACAGATTTTCAAATACATTCCCAGTGCAAATTTCAACTTTTCTGTGTGTGGGGGAAGAAAAAAGGTGTCCTCTGTTCTCATTAAATTTTGCTGGCTTGCTTTAATATGAGACTCATGTGCCACTGGATCTATTACGTATGTCTGTGTGTAGGATTTCTGTCTTCCACTGTTTTGGATGGAAAAGCCTGAAGATATTGCAGGAAAAAGTAAAGCAGTGTATAGTAATGGCTATTCCTGCTTAGTTGAGTTTTTGTAACTAAACTGAAGTCTGCCCATAACATTTCCAGCAAGAGTCATTGCCTCCAAATCTGCAAAATTTATATACCAGGATGTATCCTCTTGGCACTGTAGAATAT